AGGCGCTAGTGTGCACGAAATTGGAAAAGAATGCGAGAGCTCGCGAGCAGCGTGCGAGTGCGTGACGAGACACCGTTGTAAACACGTGTCTGTAGAACGATATTATAAAGAGAATTAATCGACGCTATTGGAATAAAGTATTTTTTAACGCATGTCCTTTAGTAAATTTATTCCTTAAACGAGGTCATTCCATTTCAACCTTCGGGAGCGCGACTCGGTGAATTATTACAAGAAAAACTCGTCTACAACAGTAGATTCGACTCAAAAGCGGGAATAGTGGGTTATCGGTGCACGCACGGCAGCGTGGCCTGTGTTCCCGGACAAGAACGAAACAAAATGGTCCTTCGAGCCGGATTTTCCGAGTGACGCGATTCTGAGGATTTCCACGAGACGAGATTCGGAGCAAAGCGGAGCAAACTCGAAGTAAAGCGGAGGAGATTCGGAGCAAAGCGGAGCAAACTTGGAATAAAGCGGAGCAGATTCGGAGCAAGGCGGAGCAGACTCGGAGCAGAGCGGAGCGGATTCGGGGCGAAGCGGAGCGGAGCGGTTTGACGGCACGAGTTCGAGCCATTGAAGGATCGAAACCATCGACAGAGAAGGTACCATAACGGAATAGCGTCGACGGGAACGAGAGAGAGCGGAGCATTATTAGAGCGAGAGACCGGAGTGGAGCAGTGAAGAAGCGCGATTCGAGCATAAATCGTAGTATGGTATAGTTGAAACGATATGCGTAAGTAACGATTATAATATTATATACGAGCCGTTGGAATTCGAATATGGCCGAGGATCTTAGTACGTTGGTGAGACGGAGATCGGTGGTGAAAGGTCAGCTGACACGTATTTACAATTATGTTGTCTCTCTACCGTTAATTGTTCCCGATGTTGTAGAATGTCAGGCCAGATTGCAAAAATTACATGATTTGTGGCACGATTTTGAAATCAATCAGGGACGGATCGAAGACCTTGAAGTAAATGAAGTACAAAGTCAGGAACGAGAAGCATTCGAGAACGGTTATTATCGAACCGTCTCAGAATTAAGGAGACGAATAGAAGCGAGACAGGACAGACCGGCGGACGACGAAGCCCGCGCTAGAACACCGAGCGAAATAACGAACGGCGACGGTACGCGAATTGAAAGTAGAGTTAAATTACCGACATTAGAATTACCGAAATTTGATGGAACACATGCTCAATGGCTGCAATTTCGAGACACTTTTCAGGCATTGATAGATAACAATTTGACCTTAGAAAAGATACAGAAATTTCATCGAAATCGTGTTTGCAAGGCGATGCGGCTCAGGTTTTGCAATCGTTAGAGACATCCGCGGATAATTATGCTATAGCCTGGGCCCTTTTAAAACAACGTTTCGAAAATAAAAAACTGTTAATACAACAGCATATACAAGCCCTATTTAGCATGAGTTCCATTCTAAGGGAATCTGCGACACAATTACGTAAGCTAGTAGACGACGCGCAAAAACACATTCGAGTGTTGAAAACGTTAGGCGAACCTGTCGAAAACTGGAACAGCCTCATAATCCACATAATCGTTTCGCGAGTGGATGCGAATACTAAGCGAGAGTGGAAAACAGAAACTGTAAAAAAGGAGGCACCCACGTTACAGGAACTATTAGAATTTTTATCTCAGCGGTGTGTAGTACTCGAGTCACTGCAACCGAACAGGTATCTAGGAAATAAACCCGCATTGCCTTTCTCGACACGAAGAGAAGAAAATCACGTAGGCGCGCATGCTAGTCAGTTTGTTGATAAGAAATGTCCTCTGTGTCAGGGCCATCACGAGATATACAGTTGTAAGAATTTCAAGGATATGACGGTGCAGTCCAGAATAAACGAAGTAAGGAGTCACCGGTTGTGCTTTAACTGTTTGCGAAAGAAATCACATGGCGGATAGGTGCATGGCGGGCGGGTGCAAGCAATGCGGTCGAAAACACAATACGTGGTTGCATGACGATAGCAAGATACAACGAACGCTAGATTCGACGGATTCGAAACAAGGGGAAACGAGTTCAAGAGATTTAGCTTCTAAGTCAATAACAGAAGAAAACAATAACCATAATAACAGAAATCAGAGAATAGAACAAAAACAGTTTTCGGTGAACTCGTCAACCTTGAAATTTAATAATCAGGTATTGCTTGCAACCGCCTCCGTAAAGGTATGCGATCAATTTGGCCGCGAACACATATGCCGAGCGTTTTTAGATGCAGGATCACAAGTAAATATAATGCGTCGGGATCTGTGTGAGCGCTTGCAGTTGAATGAGCGGGGGATAGACGTATCGTTGTCGGGAGTAGGCGGAGGTGTAGCGGACGCGAACGGAGTAGTCAACACGACAATATCTTCAGCGATTAACGAGTTTAAAATAAAATTGCGGTTCCTCGTAATGGATCACATAACGGAGAGAATGCCTTTACAAAAAATAAATATAGCGACATTAAGGGGTTACACCACAGTAGAAATTTAAAAAAATCGATTTTTTTTTTATTGGCTTAAAAAATTGTTTGAACCCTCTAAAATAAGAAACAAACGGTTTTATATCTGCCAGAAATCGTTTTCATTGAA